TTTTCTTGATGTTGACCAGTGGTCTAGAGCCTCTTTTTAAATACAAGGCCCTGCCCCACATTTGAGATGCTAATTCAGTACACCAGGAGTGTGAACCAGGCACCTACAAAAGCCCCTGATCTGGTGAAGATGAGCAAAAAGGCAGATCCCCTCAAAGCGCCTGCTAACAGCAAGGCTGGGGAGATATCTTGTGTTCATGTACAGTCTGGGACGCACATTTAAGGTTCTACCTGTTAAGACATGCGACTGCAGACAAAAGCCCTAATTCTAGGGGATGAGATTAAGTCAAGAGCTATTGAGAAAAGGCAAAATTAAGTGAGGAGAACGATGACCCACTGCCCCAGTTTGTGTGAAGTGTTCCACTTTACGTCCTAATATCTTATCCATGTAATAGGCAACACTGGATCAGACAAGAGTTCTGAGTCAGATAAAAAAGGTTTTGAGCTACTGCAAAACAAATTGCACTAGGAAGCAAGCACTCACCACCGGGCAGGAGGAACACAGCAAAGAATTACTACAACAACAGCTAAAACTACTTATCCGTAACAACTCCACCTCCTTACCTCAGTCCAGCTGTTACCCACAGCAGCCAGGCAGGCACTGGGAAATGAGGCCCTTGCCCAGCACCACACAGGAACTTCAGGCAGGTAGATAACCATCAGCAGAGTTCAAGTACCTAAGGGAATTACCAGACCACAAACCCAGCCCCCTCAAGGTCAGGTGCTGCAATCTGAGTGCTGGAACTCACAGCTGAGAGTGCGCAAAATTTGTCTGACTCGGCAGAGTCCAGGAAGTCAAGCAGCTCGATCTCGAAGAGGACTGTGGAGTTCGGAGGAATCATGGGAGGGCAGCCCAGTGTGCCATAGGCGTAGCTTGGTTTAAACAGAAACCTGGCCAGCTCTCCTTTCCGCATGCTCAGGAGGCCCAGCTCCATGCCCCAAAGCGTGATATCTGGAACAAGAGAGTCAAAACCTGGTTCAGTTCCTCTGGTAACCCGTTTCAGGGCTATCACTATCAATTTCTTCTCCTTTCAAGTTCAAATCATTGTGTAGCAGCCCAGGTCTTCTCAAAGCAGCCTCAACACCTCATCAGCCTCGTTCCCCACGACCTCCATCCCTCCCAAACACTAGCTTCACCAAGCGCTGGAGTCCTCGAGCCTCAAGTATTTGCTCAAGAGCCCTGATGTGCACTGCTGTGTGTTGGGCCACTGACTGAAATGTCAAATTCAAATTCAGATGCTCCCATTAAGAGTCACAGCCTTCAGTTCAAATCCACCAGCTGCTCTGCTGGAGAAGAAGGGGCAATCTCCTCCTGTACCAGTCAGATACAGTTTGATGGAAAACACACACACACACACACAGCTAAAAAAAAAAAGGCACTGCCTTGGAAACCTGATAAACAGGGTCCCCATCAGTTGGAACTGACCTGACGGCAGATGTAGTTTTCTAGGAATCTTTACACAATTCCTTCCTCCTCCCGCTTAATTCTTCCCCACTACACTCCCTGCTTCTATCTTCTATGTTTCATCCATCACACTGTCAAGTCCACCAGGGCAAAGCTCAGCTGAGGCCCAGCTCTCTTTCCCGAGTACAAGGTGTGTGGATACATTCCATAAACGTTCACTTAAAAGTAAAGTGTCTAACGTTTAAGTCAGAGTGCAAAGACAACTTTGTCAGGCAAACGTTCTCTCAAGTACCTAGGTGTCTCTAAGGGGAAAACGGAGCTCCGGTGGTGGCCTAGAAGTTAAGGAGCTGAGCTGTAATCTCAAAGGCACAAGGTTGGACTCCACCAGCTGCTGTGGGAAAAGGATGGATAATCTCCTCCTAAGTTGTTAACCAGTTAACAACCTCTGAAAACCCACTGGATAGTCAGCTATGAGTCAGTTCTGACTTGATGACACACAAGAGAAGAAGCAACAAGAGGAAGAAAGGGGTGTTAGAAGGCAGCCGCTCGGCACAGCGCAGCTGCAGAACTCACTCAAGGCGCCTGAACTGTGGACAGAGGTCCCTATCTAGACCTTCTCGCTCATCAATTTCCCAAACAAGCCCTCCTCTGCCAGTTCCTAAGGAGCCCAGGAGGCATAGTATATAACTTAGGAAACTACTAATTAAAAGGTTGGAAGTTCAAATCTGTCAGTTGCTTCATACGAGAAAAAGAGACAGTCTTCTCCTGTAGAAAAGGTACAGCCTCAGAAACGCAACGGAAGGTCATTATGAGCGTGGACTGACTCAAACGCAGCGGGTTTGGATTTTCTAAAAGCCGCCCTGACGGCACAATAGGATAAACGTGGCTCTGCTAACGGAAAGGTGGGTCCATGCGAGAGATGAGGCGTCTCCATCCAGTTACCATTTCTCTGTCGCCGTGGAAACCCCATGAAGGTTCATCAAGGAGTAAAAACCCCTGCGTTTCGGTCTGTGCAGTGTGAGCTTACCCTCTCCCAGCTTCATAAGCCGAGGCGTCTTCCTATAGCAGTTAGAATCGAAGGGCTTGTCCATGTGCTCCAGGTAGCCCGAGTATTTCACTAGAAGAAACACACTGAAGGTGAAGACAAGACCGCTGACGCTGATACCTGCCAAGTGCCCGCCTCCCCCCATCACGGCTGCAGTCTTTCCTCCGAGGTTTCTGAATGCCTGTCCTCTGGCCTGAAGTTCAAGAGCGCAGCTGGCATCATGCGATGGGCACCTCGCCGCCCAGTCTGGTCAAGTCAGGCGAAGGCTTCTCCACCCCGGGTGGCCGCACCCGGCCCGGCCTTACCCAACACGGAGGCATCAGGGGTCACCAGGTCTCCCACGCCCTCGCGGAGGACATCCTTCAGCACCCCACGGTCCCCCGAAATGTCCTGCATCCTCTGGCTCAGCCTCTGGTACGGAGACTTGGGGAGAAGAAATAAACCCTGAAAGCTCCGAAGACCCAAGCCCCACCCCAACTCCGGCCGCTGCAGGACCCCACAGGCAGCCCCGGCACTGACGTGGGACCCTCGGTGTGACTCCCTCACCCCACTGGGGGCCACGTCCCCCTCCACGGCTCCCGGGCCCTGAGCCTGGCCCCCCATCGCCTGGCCCCACGTCTTCGCGGCCGGCCTCGCGCCCCTCTCGGAAGCCCCCCGCTCCGCACCCCTCTGTACCCGCGCGGCCCCTTCTGACGGCTGCGCGCGGGCCACCGGCTGCCAGAAGGTGCTCATCGCTGTTCCAACCGCCACCAACCGCCTCGAGCGCCCGGACGCTGAGGAGCTGCGCCCGCCGAGCAGGAGACAGACTGGCCAGCTAACCAGGGGCACCGGGCGGACGTGCGCGGGCACGCGGCGGGGCACGTGACGGGCAGGAGGGGCGTGCGCGGGCACGTGACGGGGAGGCGGAGAGGGTGGACACGCGGCGGGGCACGTGATGGGGCAGGAGGGGCGTGCGCGGGCACGTGACGGGGAGGAGAGGGTGGGCACGTGACGGGCAGGAGGGGCGTGCACGGGCACGCGGTGGGGCACGCGGCAGGGCACGTGACGGGCAGGAGGGCCGCACAGGCACGTGGCGGGACACATGCACGCGGCGGGGCACGTGACGGGCAGGAGGGGCGTGAGTGGGCACGCGACGTGGCAGGAGGGGCGTGCATGGGCACGTGATGAGGCAGGAGGGGCGTGCATGGGCACGCGGCAGGGCACGTGACACGGGTAGGAGGGGCGTGCATGGGCACGTGACAGGCAGGAGGGGCGTGCACAGGCACTCAGCGGGACACATGCACGTGGCGGGGCACGTGACGGGCAGGAGGGGCGTGCATGGGCACGCGGCAGGGCACGTGACACGGGTAGGAGGGGCGTGCATGGGCACGTGACAGGCAGGAGGGGCGTGCATTGGGCACGCGGCAGGGCACGTGGGCAGGAGGGGTGTGCACAGGCACGCGGCGGGGCACGTGATGGGGCAGGAGGGGCGTGCGCGGGCACGGAGGTGTGGGCACGCAGCGGGGCACATGACGGGCAGGAGGGGCGTGCACAGGCGGCGGGGCACGTGACGGGCAGGAGGGGCGTGAGTGGGCACACGACGTGGCAGGCGGGGCGTGCATGGGCACATGGCGGGGCAGGAGGGGCATGCACGGGCACGCGGCGGGGCACGTGATAGGGCAGGAGGGGCGTGCATGGGCACGCGGTGGGGCACACGGCGGGGCAGGAGGGGCGTGCACGAGCATGCGGCAGGGCACTCGATGGGAGCAGGTGGAGCCTGAGGGAGCACATGATGGGAGCAGGTGGAGCTTGAGTGGGCACGCGGCGGGGCACGTGATTTGAGCAGGTGGTGCGTGAGTGGGCACGCGGCAGGACATGTGATGGGAGCAGGTGGAGCTTGAGGGGGACATAGAACGTGATAGAGCACCTGGAGCAAGGTGGACACGTGAAGAGGGCAGGTGGAGCCTGAAAGGGACACGTGATGGGGCACATGCCCGGGACCTAGAACGTGGGTGGAGCACGTGGAGCGAGGTGGGCAGGTGACGCGGGTGAACCAATGGAGTGAGTGTAGGGGAGGGGCGGGGTGGGCCCGCTGGGCCGGCGCAGAGCACGTGGACCAGGTCGGCAGTGGAAGTGAGCAGGAACCTGCTGTCAATCAGGCCTCTGTGGTGGTTCAAGGCCACCTGTGGCCTCCAGGGGGAACGCTGGGCACGCAATCTCCTGTTCGATTTACAGCCTTGAAAACCCAGTGGAGGGTCAGCTATGCGTTGGTTCTAACTCGATGGCAGTGAGTGTGATCTGTATGTACACGTATGTGTGCGTTTATGTGTGTGAATACATAGATGAGTGTATGTAGAGATCTGTGTCTGTAGTGTTTCGTGTACCTTCAAGTTGGAACCGACCAATAGCTGTTTTCAGAGGCAGTAAGTCACACAGGAGATTGCCTATTTTTCTCCCGAGGAGCAGCTGGATTCAAACTGCGTACCTTTGCGTCAGCTGTGTAATTCCTTATCATTAAACCACCAGAGAGTTCCATATATGTGGATGGGTGGAAGTAGAAGTACATTTACTTAAGTAATTATTGATACTTAAATATGTATATATAAATAAACAATCCCTGGATAGTTCAAATTGAAGTACTTCACAGTAGTCAAGCTGCCAGGTTGGTGGTTCAAATCCACTCACCGATGAATCAGGAGATGGGCCGTGTCTCGTGATCTTCCAGAAATCCCAGCCTTGAGACACTGGAGCAGCTCTGCTCTGAACACGCAGGGTCACCATGAATCAGAATCAACTCAGAAGGAACGAACACACATAAAATGCACGTCAAACAGTATACTTCAGGTTTGTGTTCTTTATGTTGTTGACTGCTGTCGGGTTGAGCACGACTCATAGTGACCCTGTGAACAATGGACCTGAAGCCTTTCTATTAACTATCATCGTTTCTCAAAGTTCA